TCCTTCCCACTACAACCCCTGTACACTGATATAAAACCTCTTAACTGTCCAGGGGAGAATTTGCCTAGCACAGGCACTCCATAAGACATTTGTAGGCTACCTCACACAGGACCTCTTGCAAACCCCAGTGTAGGGGACAGGGTCATGGGATATGAAGTTATGACCATTCTGAGCACCTCCACGTTGCAGTGCTACCCCTAGGCAGCCCAGGAAGAGCAACTGTAACTTAGAAGAGCTTTGAGCTACTTTTATTTATGCACCAGCCCAGAATCCCAGGACTCCTCCTTTTCTTCCTCCAGAGCTCCACCTGTGTGTGCTTCTCCTCCAAGAGGAGCAGCACATAATCCCTCCCTAGTTATTGGATAATATTTAGAATACAGCAGTAGTGTTGATGGTATGTATTTATCCCTGGCTTACGTCCATTGACTTCAGTCAATGAATTTTGGATTAAGTTGGTTTTGTGTCTTTTATATGGATAATAATAAAATCAATAGAGTGGGAATTTTACTAGACAAAGTATATGTAATTTTTATGCAGGATTTTATTAGAACGTTTTTTTTTTAACCTTGGATTGTTGAACTAGTATGTAGCAATGCACAGAGGGACTATGATAAATTAATATTGGGCCTTATTTTGATCTCTCACCAATTTAAATAGGTGCAACCGCATTGACTTCATTCACAGAACATCTGATTATTTGCATGCTGCTATAAATGAGATAAGAATCAGGACCAAGCATTGATATTCCTGTGAAACTTGTACAATAAGTGTATGTCCAGAGACATACACAACTGATTTTACAAAATGAGCATTCACGGCTCTCAGGAAACAGGGTCCAAATATTAAGATTTTGGGCTGTCATTTAAAGTGAGCTCCATTAAAATATAGTAATCTTTCGAAAATGTTATTTCCTTGTTAGAGAGAGAAATAAACTTTACACAGTTTAATTTAGTAGTTTAATTTTCTACAGCAATAAATCTTTTTCCAGATTACTATTGTTACCTTAATGAGGGCTGACTGTAATCCAGTTAGCAGCTGTTTAATTGCTATCATGTGGCTCTGGTTTAAACTAAAGCCATTTGAGCACATGCCGCAGCCTCACGCACATCTGACATGGATTAAGACTGTGGAAATACAGCTTACTGCTACTATCTCAGCTAAAATCCCAATACCATATTCTGTATTTCCTATATGCTTACTTATCCTAAAACAGATTTTTTAATTTATTTTGCGTTTCCAAATTTTAGTTTTCTCATCAACTAGCTGATGTCATCACCTTTTCTGGTAATTCTCCAGTGTCTCATCCACTGAGATCTTTCTTCACAAAACCAAATTACGTACATGGGAGTAGAAGCACTTTCAAACTAAGTAGACACAGATCAGATGCAGGTAGTAAGACGCTGATTACAAAGATGTGTTAACTATAGATAGATCATTATAATGTTGCAGCCGCTACTGCTTATTGAATTGATGTAGTACAAGGGGGCAAATGTGTGCTTTTTCTTGTTAACCATTTTAATTAACTTTTAATTGATTTCTAGGAAGATAAATTGTTTCATTATAGTGTCTCACACTGAACACTTTGGTAGGATTTTAAACATTCATGAAAACTTCCTGATAGTAGTGCTGATAATCAGTGATTTTTATGTTTTGTTATTTTCCTCAACTTCTGTAGGTTCATTTATAAATGTAAACAAATGAAGCTACCTTGCTCACAAAATACACTTACCTTACATGACCTTATTCACCATGACTTCATTTAATTAACAGGGAGGAAAGAGAACAGGCCAACACTCAAACTATGTTAATACCCTAGCAGTCAGTATGAGATGATTACACCTCTACCCCGATATAACGCTGTCCTCAGGAGCCAAAAAATCTTCCCGTGTTATAAGTGAAACCGTGTTATATTGAACTTGCTTTGATCCGCCTGAGTGCGCAGCCCCGCCCCCCCAGAGCGCTGCTTTACCGCATTCTATCCAAATTCATGTTATATTGGGCCACGTTATATCGGGGTAGAGGTGTATCTGAATTGCATGCCCTCTAATAAAAAATGAAATGGACACCACTTATATGTAGGCAAGTTTATTTTGCTAATATTTAGAATATCATGTGTATGGGTTGGATGCACTAGTAGGAGTAAAATAATGTTACCCAAAACTTGAACTAAATCAAATAATCACAAACGTTGGATTACTATTTTAAAGTATTTTTTCATGTTGGTTCACTTCTTTGCTTGCTAAGATGGAAGTGGAAGTGTAAAGTATAAAAAGAGAAGCCCAAGTCAGTCTCATGGAATAGTGTTACAGGCCTGTTTGGAATTAAAATGCCCAATTCTGTGTTGCATTCCACTCCAGGGCAATTTTTCAGACTGGAGTAATTTAGATAAAGTTTGAAGTATCTTGACAGGTTTCAGAGTAGCAGCCATGTTAGTCTGTATCCGCAAAAAGAACAGGAGTACTTGTGGCACCTTAGAGACTAACAAATTTATTAGAGCATAAGCTTTCGTGGACTACAGCCCACTTCTTCGGATGCATAGT